ACTTGGGGTATATTGATATGATATAATCGATATGATTTTTTTCATTTATATTAATCAAAATGGGTTAGTTTTCGTGATACTATAATATGTAAAATTATCCTAAAATTAATAAAAACAAGTTAAAAAGGTTTGGTAATAAGTAATTTAATAAAATTTCGTTTTTTATTAAAATTTCACGAGTACAAATTTAAAAGATATCTGCATTAAATGTAGGAATGATCACATTAATTACTTGATTGTTAACGAATTATGTCTAAAATTTAAAGATCCGTATTCCCATTTCATTTTTATTGATAGATGTGCGTATTTATTTATGTGAGATTCTATAGCATATATAAACAGTATACTAAATACGCACGTCAATAAGTGAGATGTGAATACGGATTTAATGTTTAATAATACAGTGAATTAGTACACTTTTATTATTAGTAATTTAATTGGCTTTCTATTGGCAATATGCATAATTTGTTAAATGCAGTTAATTGTATCTGACATATAAATTAATTATTATCGCAATGTAGTTGTACTACCACTTATTCGTAAGTACCACACATTGATTTTATTGGGTACTAGACTATATATAGGATCTGGTTATTTTAATATAAAAACATTAATAATTTGTAATAACAGTAATCACATACCATTTACACATAAATTATATTATCTTTTTCAGTAGTGGAATATGATATGCTAAATTTTTTATAATTTATAAGTAACTTTCAATATATTTAAACAATAACTATTAAAATACGTTTAAATTACTAAGAGGATCATTAAAAATTTTTTGTTAAATTATAAATTATTTTGTAGGATATTGCATGTATTTTTATTTTGTATATATAATAAATTTTTAGATATAATAAGTTTGTAATATGCGTATTAATAAAATTCTATTTTTTACAAATCATTTTTCACGAGAGAGAGAGACTTCCCGTCCTGATTTTATTTTTAAAATTTTTTGACATTAAAAGATTTTAATAATATGCTATTACTTTTAATATCATTTAAAAGATGATCACATTATAAATTTACATAATTTATAATATTATTATAACAAACGAATATAAATTAAATATTAATTTTTATATATTAATAATATAACATACTCTAAACGAACAATTTTCTCCTCTTCTTTTGAAGGTAGTAATATAGAAAATTTATCTTGAAAAATAATTGTGAAGAATAAATTATTAAAATTCTTTACGAAATTATTAATCTCGCACATCCTGCGAATGTTAATTATCGATATGGTAAGATAAGCTTATTTTATTATATTATCATTTATAGTGATTTATAGTTTAATATCTTTTTACGATTGCGAGCGATTGAAATTAAAGTTGATCACTCAGACAATACAATAAAATGCTACGTGTACATATTATCGAAAGTGAATTTGTAAGTATATTTCTAAACCAATTATATATTTCATACTTTGTGCTTATTAATTAAATGAATAATGTTTCAATTAATTTCTCTTTGATAAACTGTCTGCGCCGGAGCTAATCATTCTATTGTAAGTGTTTCAAAATTCACTACCAGTACTGAAAATTTATAGTGCATTTAACGTAAAATATAAATTTATAGCAGTGGAGATGGATTTCGAAACCCAATCTGTTATTTCCATAATTCTTCCACTTATTATACGAGTAATTTGCGAACATAGTGTAATTTATTACATTAAATATATATACTTTATATTTAACAATAAGAAATTAATTAGCAAAGAATTTAGGCTGGGTTGTTCAACTTTTCGATAAACTTCAATTCACTGTCTTATTCTCTTACTCTCTTACTTTTGTTGCTCTGCTGTTACTCTTTTACTCTTGTTTATCTATAATAATTAATAAATTATTATATAGTTTATGAGGTATAGCAAAAGAAGATGGAGCAATCAGTTCTAAATCGATCGAAAAATCGTAATTCTTTCTTGATTATTCTTAATATGAGATTGTATGTGTTATCTTGCGTATAATATGAATAAATTAAAGAAATATCAGAGGGAGAATTTGTGTGTAATATCTGTCATTACATAATAATGATATAAAATCCTATATATAATGGTATATTTTAGTGATATTCTTTCATCATATAAATATTTTGTTTTACGAGGCGCGATTTTAACTATGCGAAGACGACAAACGTAGGTAAAAAGTCAGAGAGAAATACGAAGTAGAATGGCCTGAATTGTTAATGACTCGATTGCTTTCATGTTTATAGGACTATAAAACGTAGTAGCAGAAGCGAGAAGCCTAATGTTAATCGTTATTTTATGCAAGTACATTTTTTACTAATTCTAAATTAAATATATAAACCGAAATTTTAATAAAATGCAATGCAGTCGATACCAAAATTATTTTTGTTTATTTTAGTTAGAATATTTGAGTCGTGAGAATGATCATTCTAATTTAGAAATGCATTTATAACGCCATCATAAAAAATATCAAGAATTATATTTTTTATTTTTGGAATAAGATTCACAGATTGGCAAGTAGTCCTTGATCGTTTTTTTATCAGATGACATTTAACTATTCTAGATCGAATCAGAATCCAAAATTAGATATAATATATATTGGGATATATTGGGAATGATCGTAAAATACAAATACAAATTTTTTATTAATTCCTGTTATTAATGATGAGGAAATGTTATTTTAACGCAATACAATACATCTTTTAAATTTGTTACGATTTTTAAATTCCAACTCTCATGAGAAGAATATCACATAACAACATTTTCTATAAAATAATTAACGCATCCTTGAAAAAAATATTTTTATGTGAAATTTCGTCTGTTTACATTTATTCAGTTATTTTAAATTAATACTTAATTAATAAATATTTATGCAGACGAAAGCTACTCAAGCGAACGGTTTCAAATTGAAATAAATTCGTATGTTTTAATTAATTAAATATGCATACCTCTAACTGGATATTTAATTAGCTCTTGCAAATGTAAATATGAGCAACTGCAGAGCTTACAATTCTATAATAAATATCATTCTATAATAAATATTCATGCAGCGATATAAATATCAGCGTTAGGATTTTAAAAGTAATTTGTAGCGTCCAATAAAGCTCCATTGTTTAGAAACACTAAAGAGATTTCATAAATTTATTTCTGAAAATTATTTCGAAAATAAAATTTTATAATATTATAAATCTTCTTTCTAATATATCTTATTTCATCGAGCATAATTAAGGAGTTACTGGAATAGTTTTTAAAAGTGTTTCAAAAATATGTCCATCGCTAAAAAAATATCTAACGTGCAAGATAAACCAACTGCGAGACGTAATAAATTAACTTTGTTCAGCCAATCGTGTCTATTGTGTTTTTATCGCGATTTATTCCAAATGATTCCATCACAAAACCGATATTAAAATGGAATGTTTGTAACTTAGCAGTAAAGCATTTCTTTGTGCTGAATGTTATTGATACGATTAGTCCATTCTTTTCCTCTTGCAAGATACGGTAATTAATAGTGTTTAAAATAATTATGTAATTACGTGAAGTTGTTGTTAATAAAAATATTAAAATTTGTTATACAAATATATTTAAAATAAAGTATACCAATGCATATTTAATAGTTTTAACGCGCGCGTTTTAATTAAGGTATAAATATTTCATGTTTTTTTTTAATTCAGAAATATTTCTTCTTTTGAATCTAACTATGAATTTTCAATTTCAGATTTAGCAAAAAATTAATAAAAATAAATAAATAATAAATGTTTATATTGGTATAATTAAATGTTAAAGGTTATAATTAATACAATAAAACAATATGAAAAAAATACAAATTATTATTAGCGATTATGTAGTAAAAAATTCATAAATATTCATAACTAACATAAAAACATATACGTTTTGGCTAGTATCTGGTCATCTTCAGTATATCATATTATTAAATAAAAATAATAAATAATAAATAAAATTCACTCAAAGTACATGATGGAACTTGTCTAATAATTATAGTCAACTAATTGTATAATGTCAACAAGTTAACTAATTTGCAATGATACTCAGATATGCGTCCAATGAATAGATATTAATCCTAATTAATTATTTAACAATAATACAATTATCACCCTTATTAGAATCTGGGAATTATGTGTCCACTCTTTTGCGAAACAAGACTATTTTGCGTTGAGATCCGTCAAGATCTACTGATAAGAAATCGAGCATCGTATCGAACTTAAAAATCCGTCAGAATTTTAAAATCACTTTGATTACAGTTTTATTATACAAGTTCCATTATATACTTTGCATGAATTTTATGTATTATTTATTATTTTTATTTAATACAATATATTAAAGATGACCAGATACTGGCTGAAACGTATATGTTTTTATAGTTATAAATATTTATGAATTTTTTAATATATGACATACCGCTAATAACAACCTGCGTTGTGTTTTATGCTCCTTTTTTTATATTGTTAATTGAAAAAAATTGCAAAACTTAGGTAGATTACAGGGTCCTGTTATTTTATATTATTTTTGATATTTCACAAGAATTACAGTGCATTTATAATCAATAATTTACGAGAAATTATGAAGATAAAATTTATGAAACTTATGAAGGTTTGCCGTAATTAAATCTAACATTTTATATACCGTGTAACAAGCAAAATATTTGAAGAATAAAAATATACAGATGTACAAGACGAATATTCAAGTACACATATGTATCAAAATGTGCGCGATATATAAATTTATAAATAGAATTTTATAAATCCTGGAATCTGACTCAAATCATAGATCATTTAGTGAGCTAAGCTATCTGCTAATGCATAATAATTAATTTACGCGTTAAGGTTTACTGAGCGCGTAACTAGGAAGCAAACACGGTGAGCAGTAATAATTATGTCACAGTTATAAAACTGCACTTTCCTTCGTCTTTGGCGAGTTGCCAAGGTCCCTTGCCTCACTCAAGTTCCATCTATCAAAGGTACATCGCGGAATATGTGAACGTGATGTCTTGTCAGATCGTGATGACGACGATGATGACAGCACACTGTTACGAATTACATATGAGAAGGTGTAAACAATATGCGCCATATAACAACCCCGTGTATCGCAGGCACACACACACGTAACAAACACATACATGCCATACACACTCCCACGCGATCTGCGTGTCCTCGTACATTGATCAATCGGCTAGTGACGCATGCAGAACGTTCGGGTATATAAGCCATCCACCAAAAAGCAGAGGCATCACATTCAGTTACTTTCATCAGCAGCTGATCTTCCAAAAGCTATCAAATCAACTATGAAGTACTTCCTTGTAAGTATTCTGATAGATCTCTCTTCAATATTTCTGTCGCACATTCACTATATTATTGTCGGGCAAAGCCACCGTTCTGACAGATCGCTTCAAAATTTATGTTCTGTGTTCTAAGCGAGCAAGCCTTATCTATGCTTTGTGTATACGTATCGCATGAAACATTTTGGTAGATTTTCAAATTAATTCCTTTGCCGATCGTGATATGCTGATCGTGATATAATCTAATTACCGCATTACCGCGATTATCTGCGTAAATCGATCAGCTTGTGTGCAGTTGTATGTTCCGATTTCAGATTAAGCTATTTATTGTAGCATATTATTCTAGTATATTCCGATAGTCAATTGTAGAATTCCTTTCTTATAGAATCTTAGAAAATTTCTCTTCCTACAAAGATTTGTTTTAGATAGCAATTAATTAATAAAAATAAAATGATAAACATATTTAAAAAACTTGCTAAATCTTTCCAAACTTTTCAAAATTGCAAATTGCATCTTCGTTTAACCTATTTCATAATTTTATCTCTCGCCTTATTTAGTATGCTATTTTCTCAAATAATTTAAATATATTTAAATATATTTATTTATCATTAGCGAACTCGTAAACGTATCAATGATTGTATTATAAAATTATAAAATTTTGAGTATTAAGATTAAATATAAAATCTTGTTACAATATTAAGAATATTAGACAAAATTGTTTATATTCTCTTACACATCAATAAAAAATACAATAAACACAGTAAATTAATTTTATTATTATAGAAAATATATATTCATTTTATATTTCGATTTTTTGTTAATTAAAAGAATAGCTTGTTTATTTATATGAAGACCAAGTTGTAACATTTAATTTTCATTTTGTGTCATAAAATTTGATGAAAGCGTCGACTGCGGATTAATCAATGCTTATGTTTCAGGCTATTCTCCTCTTGGCTTTCGTCGCCATCTCTATGGCGGTGGAGACTTCCGAAGGAAAGGCAAAAGAGTCGCAGGACGCTGATGCCGCTAGGGATAAGAGAGGCCTTTCATCGTATTATTCACCATACGCGTACGCCCCATACGCATACAACGCATACAATTTGCCATACTCGTATTCTGCCTATCCCTATTCTGCCTACCCCTATTACAATCAGCATTACTACAATTACCCCTATTACAACCAGCTCTCTCACTATTACTAACTCAAAATGTTGGAATCTACGATGATTCGGAATTAAGATAGGCACAAAATGAGTCTTATGAAAATCTCATTATTACCTTATGAAAATCTTATGGAAGTTGTTCTTGAATTACAATCTAATCAATCTCAAAACTTTTAGTGACTGCGAGCGTGTTTGCATTTAAGTTCTTTGATGTTAATTTCGTTCTTCTATGATTATTGTAATAATAAAATTGCATGAAAGAAACAAATTTTCTCTGGTGTATTATTAATTTTACCCTTCTTATTTTCTCGAAACTTTAATTTTAGATTTTCGCTTCCGAAAATGGTATCTGATAATCGCACATACGCAATAAGCTATTAAACTACAAGCTATTGCATTATATTATAATTTGTGAAAGTAATACTAGAAATGAAAAAGCGGAAAAGGAAAGAAATAATTCGTAATAATTTATGCAATTAATAATTTTCGGTCGAATATTACGTATCTACTATTTAAAATAATGCTGCATGCTTAAGCTGACGAAAGAGTTTATTAGAGAGTTCTCGTTTGTGCTTATTTTACTTATGAGATATATTATTAGATAAACGGCGCGTAGTAATTGCGGTGGATAATTAACAGGAAAGCATTACAATAGAATTTTAATAACTGTCAAAGCGCGTTAATTCGAATCCAATTTGTGTAATAACTGTGGAGCTCGCGTACAACCGTTGTAAATAAATTAATGGCACAAGTCCCCATTTTCATAGTCAAATTCAGCGAATTCATCGTGCATGCATTTGTATCTTTGCGTTTCATATGAATGTTTAATGTATGAGTGAAAACGCAAACTTTTAGATGCGATGTAGGAAGATGTCGAGCGGAAAAAATTGGCGTCATTATTGGTCTAGTTTCCACCGAAACAATAATGTCGAATCAAATTTAAGTCGGTGGAAATATGTTTGACTGCGCTTATTTCACTCCCAATTCGATCCACAAAGTCTCTACAATGGAAACAACATTCTGTATCTACACCAAAATGGAATCGAATTGAGGATTCCGGTAAAAATTAAATGATTGAGAGACCAAATCTGCGACGAATGAGTTGAATCTCATAAACGCGAGCGTAGTGAAAAATGTTCAGAGACTTCATTAAAGTCGATAAAAAATCAAGTTTACCGTCTCTTTCGATTATCATGATGTGTATCAAGATTATTTTTTAACTGGTCAATAAAGAATATTATTTGAGCATTATGCATCGTTTGCAAGCAACCCTTAAAAAACAATCAGATTTGTGACAAGAAAATTCAATGGTCGGGAGCATTATCATGGTGCAAATTGGAATTTGCACCATGATAATGCTCCCGATCATACTTTTTGCTTCATTCGTGATTTTATAACTAAAATTTTAACAAAGATCATTCCACAAGCTCCGCTACTTGTCTGATATGACAACGCGTGACTTTTTTCTATTCCCACAGCTGAAATTACCGATTCGTTATTGTATCGAATATAATAGATAATAATTATATAGGACTCTCAATCTTTAAAATAGAAATGTAACTAACATAAATCTAATGAGAGTCAAAGATCAGACACAAGATCTTGAAATAATGAAATTTATGAATATTCTGTCGATAAATGTATTAGGTGTTGGAATTAATTCGTAGCGTTTTACAAGTGATGGGAAGTACTTTCATTAATGTATTTTTTAATGCTCATGTGAAATAAATAACATTCTTTCATTAAAAAACGCTACGAATTAATTCCAACACCTAATATTAAAAAGATTAGATATATAATTATTCACAGAATTGTAATTTGAATAAAATCAAGACACGCTTTCTGTTTAAAAAAAAAAGATTTTATATCACTTCATCTCTGACAATTTGAGTGACACAATCTTTTTAGATACGTGAGCATTTTGTTATATTTCTATATTGCTGAAGAAGACTCCCAAGTAAGTTGAAACATTCAAAATAAAGATATCATTTATTGACAGAATATTTATAAATTTCATTATTTCAAAATCTTACCTGATCTCCTGCGTTTAACTCTCATTAGCCTTGATTTATATTATTATAGTTATGATTATATATTAGTTATGATTATACAGTTTTGAATCGATAGACACGATAAAAGAGAATATGCTACACGCTTCAAAAATTATTTAAAATCAACTATAAAAGATATTTCTTTGATGATTTGCAATTGGAAAAGAATTAATAGGTATAGATATAGACGTATTACACTAAGAAGGAATTATTTTAAAGAGGATGAAATAAATTTGAATAAATAAATATATAATTTGCATTTTATTGGTCGAGTTCTGGTACTATTCGATCGCAATAATAAATAAATAGCAAACTTAATTTTTTGATTTTTAATTTTAAACAAAAATACTTAATTTGAATATTTATGAAAACCATAAATTGTGTATATATCAAAATTTGTCTCGAATTTTGATAATATTAATGTTAAATATATATACATCTAAACTAAATAATATCTCTAAACTAAATATCTAATTAACTATAATTATAAAATATACTTGATTTCTCTATACACTCTTTTCTAAAATGATTTATTAGAAAATATAAATTTAGATATGAAGCAATATTTTTTGAAAAAATTTCTGAATAAACAACAAATTTTTAGTGCCGCAGATGATTCTGAAATAAGAAAACTAAAGATCATCTAAAAAACCTTTGAAATATTTAATTGTTTTTTTTTATATAGTGCATTTATAATATGTTTCAATGCATAATTAAGTTGTATTCTGCCTTCTAAATTGCTTATTTACGGATTCTGTCGCCGAAGAAAGTCGACGAGCGCAACATTATCCAATCCCCGACTTGATTCGCAGGACATTAAATCGTGTCCACGTAATACATGCAGGCGTTCGGAATACTTCACTCGAGATATCGGAACTGACACAGCGCGGCGATTCGATTTACACGTAATCTCGGCACGTTACACAACATATGTTCTTACGAATGGGAACATCGCTTATTCCGTATTCCTTGAGGTTTGAGACTTTGCCCGTAGACTTTCACTGGGAGACCTGGGTGAGGAGACTGGGAAAGCATATCGGGGAGCGTGACCGGAATATTACGCCGGAGTTGTTCACTGCATTTCACGTGACATCCCCGCCGTGACCTCGTCGGAAGTTCACGACGACGCTTGTTTCCTCTACCTTATTTTCCTGAGATTATAACTTATGGATACGGATGCGAAGAGGATGATGATCACAAGTTTCGGACTTTTTATTTGTTTTTCTTTATTTGTTTTATATATTATATCGTTACGTTTGATAGAAAAGTGACACAACCCAGACAACACAGTGTCTAAAATCGAGACGTCTTTGATGTCTACATTTTAAAGACGTCTTATGTCTCAATTTTAGACTTTGTGTTATCTGGGAAGTCAAGAATTAGAATTTTTTTTAAGATAATGAAAGAAAATTGGATCTCAAAGGCTAATACATTTTTGTGGAAAAATGACATATACATATGGCTTATTTTTGTTTATATATTACAATTTTGATAAGAAGATAGAATTTTAGTTAAAGTTGCAGTGAAAATGCAGTGAATTCGAATTTTGAAAACTCATGATATAGTTTATTAAAGAATTATAATTGAAAATATAATATAAAAAGAAAATAAAGTCATAGAAATTACTCATGCTAATTAAAACGTTTCAATTCAGAATTCAAAAAGTGCTCTACTGAAAAGTCGCTAATTTTGAGAAGTACCACTTGTCTATTAATGCGTCCTATCTTGCGATGGATGGAGTGATATTTGGGCTATTCTTTATTATGAACGAAACGCAATCTGTATTTGTACCTTTTAATAAAAACAAGTCTTGCGATTTTATATATTTCTTCTGTGTCTTTTATAGTAATTAAAGGCCAACTTAGACTTCCATGGACTTTTAGTTGCGCTTTATTATTCTTTCCTGTCGCGTAGATTCATTGGTGGAAGGTTTTAGTAAGATAAGGTGCGTTTTATATTGAATTTCGCGCAAGATTATTGATTCTATCGTTGGGCCTCAGAGAGTACATCTTTTGATTTAATTTGGATGTTTTTAATAGATTTTAATGTGCTTAATTTTAACGAATGACAAGTAATAATATGTTACAAATGTATTATTGTACATTTATAAACATACAAGTATATTTAGTGTCCGATTTTTTATTGTTAAAATTTTTTATTTTAAAGAATAATGGCATTTTTATTTTTACAATTATAACAATCACACACACACGTTAACGAGGATAAGACTTTAGTAAGCGGCTACGAAATTTCGATTACAGGACTATGCTGAATATACGACATTCTTTGCATCGATATGTGTAACGTCACAAATCCGTAACAGTATTGCCTAAGTTCAATCGAAGAAAGCCCGTAAGAAAGTCTATTGTAATTCGTGGATTGTCGCGACCCGATTGTATTTATACATGTGCTGGTATAGCTGTAGTCTTAGTCGGCCCGGACTTGTCCATCCTTAAACAAATTAGTTTCTTGAGTCGTGCAGTCTAATTCAATGTCGAGGCCTCGTGAGAAATAGCGTAGTTTCTCATTAAAGAAGACAGCCTCAGTGTAGTGTTAAGTGCGAGAAGGATTATATGAATTTAAAAATGCGGCTGTTTCTGGTATGTAATAATCTTAATTATAAAACTTTCTTTATAATATATATTATCATGTTGTCCATTCGCATATTAATACGCATACATATAAGTAATAAGAAACTATAAAAAAATTTTGACGTATTCAATTTTCATATTAGGTGTTGGAATTAATTCGTAGCGTTTTTTAATGAAAGAATGTTATTTATTTCACATGAGCATTAAAAAATACATTAATGAAAGTACTTCCCATCACTTGTAAAACGCTACGAATTAATTCCAACACCTAATATAATATTTCATAATATTTCATGTATGAATTTATTTTAAAATATTTTTATATATTTCACATATATATATATATATATATATATATATATATATATATACATGTATCTTTTTTCTTTTTAATTGAAAGTTTTCATTATTTAAAAATATTTAATAGTTGGAACATTACAAGATACATTACGATGAGCACCTGGCTAAATGAGTCCCAAAATTGTGATACATAATGTCACATATTCCTATTTTTTTCTTTCACAGAAAAGTTTTACAAAATATCTATAAATGAACATATAAGATTTTCTAAAATTTTTTCACTATAAAAAGCTCTTTGTTGATTTAAATGCTTAATGCAAATACTT